GCGAGAAAAAATGGTGAGTAATGACGACGTTACAGAAAACATATTACAGAAAGCAGAACATTTCAGATTGAGGAAAGGGTGGGTCAGTACTTCTAATTTCTGGTGGGACAGAATGCTCTCCTAAAATACAATATATAAAAATATATCACATTGATATGATTGGTTGTTTCACTGCCATTCAAGAAATGACACTTTGTGAATGGCCAGCTATGTAGAAGTACAGACACTGTCCTTAGCCTTGCCGTAATCTGAATCAACATTTTTAGAAAACACAAAGACATTTCAGATCACGTAAATCATACGAACAACACTTCCTGATTCTGATTGAGCAAAACCCCACAGTCTATCTCCAGTTCTGGTTTTTATTTAGCTGTGTCTGCATGCTTTTTAAATCATGTTGGAAAGAATGGAGGACGAGAAAGAGGACATAAATGTTGTATTGGAACAGTAAAACAAGTCAGAGGAAGCTTACTGTTTTATTAGGTAGTGGTTTATATTAAAAAAGGGGGGATTGTGCCTCTACTTCCTTCCGTTTTCCCTTAAAATTTCCCTTAAAATCCATCTAAATATGAAAACACGAGATATTCTTCTAATGTAAATGTGGAATAGTGATTAACAACTAGACAGAACACTCAACAAACTTTTTTGTTTTTTCATTGTGACAAGGAGGTGACAGATCCTGTTTGGGTGGGATCCAGCCCAGGTCCTAACTCTTCCAGATGTGCTTTCAGGGTTCTGAGGGACATTTTAAGGTTTTGATAGTTTTAAAGCATATCTAGAATGACATTCTATGTATGTCCTCAAAATATTCCTCTACTTTTGCCATCTCGTCCTCCGTTCTTCAAACACGGTTTAAAAATCGTGCAGGGACACGGCTGAGTAGAAACAGAAAATTATGTCACACTGTGAGGTTCTGGCCAATCAGAATCAAGAGGTGTTGACCGTACCCTTTTGAAATGTTGGGTTTTCCGAGACATGGTTGTGTTTTCTGAAATGTCTGTGTTTTCTTTAATGCCATTGTGTTCTGTGAAATGTTGTGTTTTGACCTTCGCCGTAATAAACAGTTCAGTTGACACTTGTTTTGAGAAGCATTCCACTAGGATTGAAAGAACACCAAAAAGCTGATGGGCAGTTGTTTTCAGGAAGACCAGCTCACGAGAGAAACTGCCGCTCTTCAACGAAGACATAACAGGCTGATTCGGCAGCTATGTCAACAGGCAAACCTTGCATTCTAAAGACAGGTTTGGTGAATTTAGATATGAAAAAAAAAAAACTTTCTTGTTTTTTTGTATTCATAGACTTCCCCCAACCCGACTCTTGATGTACCTCAAAATGGTAAAAAAACACCCTAACAAACATGTTTTTTGTGTAAATGTAAGATTTTCTAAATGATTAAGTTGGATCCTTTTCCATCACTGTAGCTTGCAGTCCTTCCAGCAACATTGGTTCTCCAGTTATTACAAATGTTTTCTCCCTGTCACCAGTCACTTCTCAGAGGTATGATATTGAAATGTTAACATTTGCACTGCTCATCACCTTACCTTTTTGAAAATTATTTCTATAAAAATAAATGTGTTATTCATGTACATAGCAGAGGGAAAAGAACACAGCCAAACACCCCACATGAAACACCCAAAAGGTCACGAGTCAACAGCTTCAACCCAGGTGAAGGATCAGTGTCAGTTCTTGAGGACAAGGGTCACACTGATGATATTCTTATTATTGAAAATAACAGTACACCTAAACCCATACCTTTGAGTAAATTGGAGACAGAAATGTATATCCAGAGGCCACGAAGCAAAGAAAGTATTGAGACTTTCCAAACCACTGGTGTTGAAGCAGCAAACGCCACAAGTTGTGGAGGAGTCAGCTCCGATGCCCCATCACCCATGGATCTTGCGTGCACCACCACCACAACTCAAACAGAGGTTTCTAGGGTAAAAATTGAAGCAACTTCAGTGCAGAGTCAGGTTAAAGCTGTTGAGGGCAGCTCGGACCAGAGAGAATATAAACACGAAAATAATGATGACGGACTAAAACCTACTGTGATGAAGGAAGAAGATGCAGGACCTTCCTCTGCAACTGTCCAACAAAGGCAAAATGGTTCTTTTTCCCTGTGTGAGTCTTCTGAAGGAAAGAAATACCAGGACGAGCTACTGGAGCGCATTCAAACGACAGCTCTGGAGAGAGATGCCTTAAAAGAAAAAGTAGAACAACTTACAGCACAACTGCAAAATAAAAAAGTACTGGAGATGTCAGACGCCACAGTACAGAGGGAGTACAATCACCAGGCCTGCCAGACTGTGGAGACGGAGGACCCAGAGGACAGAATGGACTATAAAAGTCAGTTACTGAGGGCCAACCAGGAAGTGGACAAACTACTTAAGGAGAACAGGGCTTTATCGGCAGCTGTAATGGAAAGTGACAGTGATGAGTATGCCCTGACCATTGACCGTTTGATGTGCGATCTGCAGCAGAGGACCAACGAGAGGGATGAACTGCGCTTACAGGTCAGGTCATCAGAGCAGTGGTGAACACTGTGTGTGTGTGTGTGTGTGAGTTGATTGAGGTGGGACAGAGAAGATATTTGAAGAATTAACATTTAGACACAGTGTGTGTATAGATCATTGAAGATATAAAATGATATTTAAGGATAAAAATATTAAAATGAAATACAATCTCAGCAAATTAATTACCTGTGTTCAAATTACCTGTGCTAATTGCAATAGTAATAGTTTTATCAATTAATTCAATTAAAATACAATTTAGGATTGTTGTTCTTTTGGCTTAAAGAGTAGCTGGCTCCCATACTTGGTTGGATTAACTGCTCTTAACTTATTCCAGCTATAGTCGCTTTTCAAAAGTTAAAAATTGGTGTCACAAATGACAAATGCTCTTGTCTTACGATAATCATAGCATCTATTAGCTGCTTCAACACAGGGTGTAGACCTTACCTGCGTCTTGACTGTGGGTTTGGCTCCACCCCTCTTCCACACAGCAACATGAGAAGTTGCAAACAAAAAAAAACAGAAATCCAGATGGCTAACAAACCTCCAAACACATCTAGAAAATGACTTTGGTAGTGTATTTGTGTAATTGCATAGTTTACTTCAAGGAATTTCATGCAAAGTCTATCTCTACTTAGCACGTTTTATCCCTTAATAAATGATTATATATGTAGTTGACAATTGTTTACCAAGTCTAATTTTCCTCTTGTCCTCTGTGTATGATGTAAAACAGCTGGAAGATATACAGGAAGAAAAGACAAATCTGGCCAAAGAGTGTGAAGAGCTGAGGTTGACTGTGCAGCAGCAGAGGGAACCTAATGAAGCTGTCCCCAGCACGAGTTCACCAGACACATTAAGAAGGTTGGACCCTCTGTGAAGTCACTCACTTTGTGTGTTTATTATCATGCATCTGACAAATATTTGTTTTTCTTTTCATTTCTCTCAGCGTTGTGGAGCTCCGGCAGAACGTTGGACGTATTCTCCTACCCTTGGTTCCCGCTCTTGATCTCAGTCAAGTGAACTTTGAGTGCAATGTTATTGATGAGATCTTAGAACAGTTTCTCTCTGGGCAGGATGGTGTGAGGTCAACTGAATAGGAAATTATATCATCTTACCCCCCACTATACTCCAGTGCTATATTCTATCTGTGTTTGATACCAATGAGGTTGGATGTTGCACATTTTGTTTATGAATAATTTCTATTGTGTGTTTGTAGTTTCTATGTCTGTGGGAAGGCAAACAAACAACATAGGAAAAAAGTGTTTCCTCTCTGAGAAAGAGAGCAGGGACACACCTCCCTCAAACTAATATTACTAAAAGCGTTTTGTGTATTTCTTCTATCTGAAAAACTCTGTTCTACTGTGTGAAGCCAATGGGAAGTTCTGTCACATGTTGTACCTCAACGTGTGGCAGAAAATCTTTTCTTTGCCGGTGTTACAGTCGTGATGAGCCTGGACGGTTGAAAGGGACAAATTGTGGTGAAGCTATTATTATAAGTACTATGGTAGTACTTGTTTTTATACCAATGACACAAAAATATTTTCATATTTTTTTATCATATCTGATTTTGGATTTATATTTATGGCTGTAAATGACTTGAGCTTTTCAAATAATGTTAACATTTGTTTTCCAGGTTTTTTTCTCATACTGATTGAAGTAATAACCTCTTTGTTTGTGTATGTGTTTGTGTGTTGGGGGGCAGGGTAGACACAGCTACGCAGATTACGTATGCCATGTGTACAGGTTGTAATGATGGGTAATTTGATATCATTGCTTTGATATTTCAATTCATGGTTGTGATTGTGTTTGTTGCCGAGCTTGAGAGTAATCCTATCCACCGGGGGGAGGGTGGGGGGGTAACTGGTGTATGCTAGTGGTTGAGCCAAGTGATGGGCTCAGGAGAGTTGAATGATTTCTCTTGGAAATGAAACACACCGTAAAGGAAAGTTCTGCTGCATCACATCACACATTTAATAAGGTCAAGTCAAAAATACATTTTTATAGATATTTTCCATCTGTTTGCTACATGAAATAAACACAGTCATCGGGATGAATTATATACACTGAGCACAAAGACGCACACTGAATAAGACAAAAGTGAGGCACGAGAAAGAAGTCCATACAAACAATCATGTTGTCAAGGCAGAGGCGAGCTTTGACAACACAGAGATCACTTGTCAGTAACTGACGCACAGCTGTTAGCTCGCTGAATGCTGGAAGTGTTGACAGCAAACTTAATTTAAAGGATGGAAAACAAGTTTTGGTCATAGATGGATTTTGTTGCGAGTGAGACAAA